ATCAAGTGTTTACATTGAAGCATGTATATGAACAGTATTTAGATAAAGGAAGGGAAGTTTTCATTGCATTTATGGATCTAGAAAAGGCATATGATAGAGTGGATAGGGGAGCAATGTGGCAGATGTTGCAAGTATATGGAATAGGTAGTAAGTTACTAAATGCTGTAAAGAGTTTTTATGAGGATAGTGAGGCTCAGGTTAGGGTGTGTAGAAGAGAAGGAGATTACTTCCCAGTAAAAGTATGTCTTAAACAGGGATGTGTAATGTCACCATGGTTGTGTAATATATTTATAGATGGGGTTGTAAAAGAAGTAAATGCTAGGGTGTTGGGGAGAGGGGTGGGATTAAATTGTGGGGGATCAAATACAAAATGGGAATTGACACAGTTACTTTTTGCTGATGATACTGTGTTTATGGGAGATTCTAAAAAAAAGTTGCAAAGGTTAGTGAACGAGTTTGGGAGGGTGTGTAGAAGTAGAAAGTTGAAAGTAAGGTGATGAGGGTATCAAATGATTTAGATAAAGAAAAACTGGATATCAAATTGGAGAGAATGAGTATGGAAGAAGTGAATGTTTTCAGATATTTGGGAGTTGACTTGTCATCGGATGGGTTTATGAAGGATGAGGTTAACCATAGAATTGATGAAGGAAAAAAGGTGAGTGGTGCATTGAGGTATATGTGGAGACAAAAAACGTTATCCATGGAGGCAAAGAAGGGAATGTACGAAAGTATAGTGGTACCAACAATCTTATATGGGTGTGAAGCGTGGGTTGCAAATGCTGCAGCAAGGAGGCGACTGGAGGCAGTGTAGATGTCCTGTCTAAGGGCAGTGTGTGGTGTAAATGTTATGCAGAGAATTCGAAGTGTGGAAATTAGGAGGCGGTGTGGAGTTACTAAAAGTATTTGTCAGAGGGCTGAAGAGGGGTTGTTGAGGTGGTTTGGTCATTTAGAGAGAGTGGATCAAAGTAGAATGACTTGGAGAGTGTATAAATCTATAGGAGAAGGAAAGCAGGGTAGAGGTAGTCCTCGAAAAGGTTGGAGGGAGGGGTAAAGGAAGTTTTATGGGCGAGGGGCTTGGACTTCCAGCAAGCATGTGTAAGTGTGTTAGATAAGAGTGAATGGAGACGAATCGTTTTTGGGACCTGACGAGCTGTTGGATTGTGAGCAGGGTAATATTTAGTGAAGGGATTCCGGGAAACCAGTTATTTTTATATAGCCGGACTTGAGCACTGGAAATGGGAAGTATAATGCCTGCACTTTAAAGGAGGGGGTTTGGGATATTGGCAGTTTGGAGGAGTATGTTATATATGCTTCTAAACTGTTGTATTCTGGGCACCTATGCAAAGACAGTGATTATGTGTAAGTGAGGTGAAAGTGTTGAATGATGTTGAAAGTATTTTCTTTTTGGGGATTCTCTTTCTTTTTGGATCGCCCTGCCTTGGTGGGAGACGACCAACTTGTTGAAAAAAAAAATCTGAAAAGTCTTTAATATTGTGTATGTGGCTCAATTCTCATTGGTGGGTAGCTCCCGGGTGTAACTAGGCATCAAAGGATAAACATCAGTGGCAATTGTTTGTACTTCATCACTAGTATTCTTGGTTAATCTGACATATTTATCTGTATTATGTAGAAAGACTTGGTAAAAATGTTGCATAGTGAAAGTGTACATGCAGTTCAGAGGTAATAATAATTGCTGATTCTATGCAGTGCAGAGCCCTACAAGTGTTCCCTCTCCTCCAACATACTTTGCATTTTGTTAATTTATTATACAGATTTTAGTTTTACAAAGTCAGGTTTTCCACTAAGTAACATTTGATTGCTCTCCCTCCCGTGCTCATAATTGCTAACATACTATCATTAGCCATGCAGACACTAAATATTCAGGGTTATTTCCAAGAAGTGAGAGAGAGAGTGGGGCTGCCTGAAGTGCAGTATTGTACTTGGTACCTCAAGCTACGAACTTAATTCATTCCAGAAGGCTGTTCGAGTGCCGATACCGAACAAATTTGTTCCCATAAGAAATAATGTAAATTAGATTAGTATGTTTCATAATTGTTCAAGTTGGGAGCTGTTCGAAACTCGAGGTACCACTCTATATGACAATGAGGGGATTGTTCCATAGGGTAAATATTCTAAAAATAATTTGCTGAAAAATCAAGTACAGCACAAAAGTTGCTTTAACCCTTTCAGTGATTGTCACGTAGAAATACCGTGGTACCTCAGGATACGAACTTAATTCATTCCAGAAGGCTGTTCGAGTGGTGATACCGAACAAATTTGTTCCCATAAGGAATAATGTAAATTAGATTAATCCATTACAGGCCCCAAAAATACACTTACAAAAGCACTTACATAAATACACTTACATAATTGTTCAAGTTTTGAGTTGTTCGTAACCCGAGGTACCACTGTATGCCATTGAGGCAAGGATCCCTCACATCGTGAGCTCATCTCACTCTGATAAGCTGTGAGTGGTAAATTTTGGCCTAGATATGAGAGAATGGATCTGTGCAGTGAGTCATAGTATAAGAAATCCTGCCCCCACAATACATGATAAGAACAGCAAAACTCTGACCATGTGTTTGGTTTAAAATAGCAAATTTCATGTGTTTCCTATGATGGTTTTTATGGTATCATTAGATAGAATGGAAAACATTTTCCTGAAATAAAGATGATTTTGGTTGGTTTCAGGACCAGAAGCATAAAATTGGGCTCAAATAAGTGAAAATATTAGATTTTTGCTAACTTTCATGAGGATTGGTAAGACCCCTTTACACTCCTGGTCAGTTTATTTTATGAGTTTTTAATAGATCTAATTTAATTATTGGGATGCCATAAACCATAACCACTTCTTCCTAGTTACATTTTATTTTCTGAGATATAGAATAAATCTTTTATTTGTGTGATTATGAATTCAAAATGAAAAGTAAGTGTAATATAGGAGAGGCCTGGGGATGTGATTAATGAACAAAGGAAATGTTGTTTTAGTACCAGGAATGTCTACATTGTTTATTTTGGACCTTTTTTTTTTAAATTGGTATTTTTTAATTGTGTAAAATTGGCCAAATTGCCGAATTCTGTGCAATTTATAGGGTAGTTGTAATAGTTGAACGGGCAATTTCTTGTGCTCATTCAGTAGAACAAGAGGTATACTAGCAAAAAATTTGGTCAAATGGAGCAATGGAATTGGCTTAAAATAAAACTGAAAGTTGGTGAAATCACCATGTGTAAATTGCATGTTAATCGCTATCTTTGCACCTGCATAATTCCATATGTTTTCTATCAAATTTTGTACTATTGGTGTCTATTACCTTAAGGAAAAGATTCTGTACCATTTCAGAGTATTAGTAATTGTGACTTGGCTTGATTTCTCTGTGCTGAACCACATGTACATTAAGAAAGGATAATAAAATATATTTATCTTTGTTTTGACCTCAATTCAAGTTTTACTTTACTGTCAGCGTTGTGTCCCCTTAGTCATAAACTATATTCAGTCACTATAACTGTGCATACATTTTTCCATTAGTAATTATTTTAATTTTTTCTTTAACCCTTTGACTGTTTCAGGCCCCTTTCTGAAACTCTCATTCTATGTCGCTAAATTTTTGAAAAAAAAAAATTATTTTTCTTATGAAATGATAGAGAATCTTTTCCCGATGGTAATGACACCAAAAGTTCGAAATTTGATCGAAAACTCATGGAATTACGCTCCTGCGAAGTTAGCGGTCTCGGCGACATATGCGTTTCGGCGATTTCGCCGAATTTGAGCCCTATTTTCAGCCAATTCCGTTGTTCCAGTTGACCAAACTCATAGCTATTTCTTTAGAACTCCATTTTTCTATCAGCTGAGTAACAAGAAACCTCCATTTACCAATTTGGACTACCCAAATATGTGTCAGAAATTTGGCAATTTGGCCAATTTCACGCAAACTAAAAAAGATTTCCAATTTCAAAATAGTCTAAATAAACAAGGTAGACATTCTTGGCACTAAAATACATATCCTCTGTTCATTAGTCACATCTCTAGGCCCTCTTTATTATATTGCTTCTATTTAGTTTTTTATTCATACAAAAAAAATACAAAATTTACTGTTATTGCAACTACTGCATATATTGTAAAAATTGTATAAATAATATCAGTGCACTAGTGAAAGAATATTAGACTCCCCAGTTGACGTGTATTGGACGTGTGGTGTGATTTGTTTACTCCTGAACATTGGTAAAAATCGAACATTTCCGCTACTTTGAGCTCAGTTTCAAGGTCGTTTTCATCGTCAATGTAATAAAAATCATCTCTATTTCTGTAATATGTTTTCCATTTTATCACCTAAGACCATGAAAACGCAAATACATCGATAAATACTATACGAAAATACACCTCAAAGTCGGCATTTTAATCCAAAAAAACGATCAGTTTTTTTTTTCTCATTACGCACTGTGTGCTGCAGGATTTTTTTTATGTGGTGCACACTGACCACACAGACCCATTCTCTCACATGTGGGCCTACCAGCTTTCTTCCGCTTGATTTGAAGCCGCTAGAATTATTGAGTATATATACGTCTGAAACACTGGCTCGTAAGACGTATATATACGACCAAAACAGTCAAAGGGTTAATGCAGTTGCCAAATTATTTTTTTAGCACAGGTGAATTGCATCACTTGTAGGAGTAATCTAAATTAACTTGCATAAAATCGACGGTCTGGAGTTTTGAGACTCTCTGACCGCAGGTTCAATCCCGGCCGGGGTATGGTTTAATCTCTCTCATCTTAACATTATTCTAGGTAATTGCTTAGTTGGCATAAGGTACTTTTATGTTTATAAAAATAATATTCTCAAGTGAAAGAACATGTATTTATAAATTTGAATAGTATTTTACTGTTAATAGCATGCAAAGATAAATATAATATCCCTAGGTGCTTGCTATCCATAAGACACTCGAGTTAACTGCAAGCCATTCATAACATTTCAAAGTTATATCTTTTATTATTTCTAAATCAGGTACAAAGAAGAGCAGTGGAAGTAGTAACAGTACTTCTGTAAAGACTACAAGCAGTGTACTAACTCACAGTGGCTCTGCTGGCATGGCAACAGCTCCAAGCAAGACTAGTTCATTAAATTATTCAAGCAGTCAGCCCAAGCACTCTGCATCATCTCATTCTTTTACAATTCCATCTTCTAAACTTTCTCCAAACCAAGCCAAAACAGTGTTAGTACCCTATGTTTTGTATTTGCAGCTTTTGATTATTCGTGTGAGTCAGTTGGAGGCCAAGTAGGTCGTCCTTGCATTTTTCTGCCCGTATTTGATGGTCAATTTTTAGCCAAGGTGAGTTCTCGGTACTTAGAATAGGTGATGTATTAGTAAATACACACATTGTATTTGAGAACTTAAAAGGAAATATAGTAATTCAACTTCATTTCATAATTTCTCTGGTAAAGTTTTCATCCTCTTCTTCATGCTTAATAACTTCCAGCAGTTTTAGGAATACAATCTTTCATTTACTTTTATACAGCCTCTCCTCACTTAACAGTGGAGTTTCATTCCTAAGACCACATCGGTAAACGAATTTGTTGCTAAGTGAGGAGCACACTTTTATGGTAGTGGGTTTGTGTCAACCATCTTTGATATTGTGTTTAATGTCACCTTTGCATCATGTATAACATTATTAGTATATTTTTAAATGTTCATACAGTAGTTTACTGTATATTGTAATAAACAGAATAGAGGAATTCAGTTCTAAAATACATTATTTAGGTATGCATGCTGGTCAGAGAGCCCGTCATAAGTTTGAGTCGTCGGTAAATGAGTATGTCGCTAAGTGAGGAGAGGCTGTACTGAGCACTTCACTTTGCACTCTTCTTATTTCAGTAATGGTCTTTCTGCAGTTCCTTTGATTCAGTCTGATTTAATTTTGTAGGGCACTCATAACAGTAAAATTTAGTTCCAGTAAAACTCAGCTTTATTTGTTCCTTCCAATTGTCAGCATTTCTTAGAAAGTTTTTATTGTGAACCTCAGTTCTCCTATCAAATATTTGGTACCTTACATTTCAGCATTACGTGCCAGGCATTAGGTTGATTTGCTAGTGAAACATCCCATTACATTCGCCCTTATAACCTGGGGGCTCAGTTGGAATTATATCACATCTATTCCTATCTAATACCTACCACTCCTAGCACCAGTAGGGTCTTACAATTTAATTGTTCCCCAAAAAACTGTGCCCCACTCACTAGTCAATGCTTTATTCTTGTGGAGCATGCAAACCTGACCAGCCCAGACAGCTTGATTCTTGCTTGGCTTCTTCCTTGCTCACTAGCTGCTTCCTCCATTTAGGTGCAGGTGATGTGATTCAAACTCGGTCTCCCAGGGACGCAAAGCAGAAAATTACATTTGAATGCAGAAATACTTTTTATTTACTCATATCATAAGGGGGTGGCCCTGAGTTTCCTTCCCTAACTGGGATATTCGATGTGATAACTAGGGCTAGGCAGGCTTGCATATTCTACAACACCAGTAGGTCAAATGAGGCTGTCCTGGCAATAAACTATAAAATCATAACAGTGCTAAGGAGGGGTAAATATTAGGTAGCAATAGGTGTGTGACAATTTCAAGTGGGGCCCAACAGTATATTTTTTATACCACATTGACCATCTCCCACCAAGGTAGGTGGACCATACAAATAAAAATTCATTAATTGCTGGATGTCTTGCCAGAAGTGTGCAGACTTCACAATTCAGATGACCCTCTGAACTGTAAAATTCCAACCCCTTCTTCAATGTGCAGGCAGTGTACTTTCCACCTCCAGGACTCTTGTCTGACTAATGGCTTTCCCTGAATCTTGACATGCTTGCACTCCAACAGCATGTCAAATCTCTAAAACCAGAAAATGGTCCTCTTCTCTCCTGCATACCCTAACCTCAGCTTCACTCTCCTCAAGAACTTTTTACTGCTTTTAATAACATACAACCTATTCCAAACATTTGGAAAATCTGCCACATTGCTATTCTTTCTGCCTTATTATATGCCTTTTCTAAAAATGACAAATGGTTTCTTGCCCTTATCTGAGTATTGTTTCCCTACATACCTTAGCGTAAATACTTGGCCTACTAATCCCCTACCCTTCCTAAAGCCTCTTTAATCCTGTATTGTCATACCTATTTCAGTAATGCTTTTACCATGTTCTTTATTCAGTATGCTCAACAGACTTATTTCTCTGTTATTCTTGCATATACTCTTGTCCCTTTATACTTACTCAAAGAACTCTATATTCTCTTTGCTAGTTCTTAAGTACCCTCCTTTCTTTCATGCATATATTGACTTAAATGCTCCAACCACTAAAATTATCCACATATCCTTTAAACATCTCAGTCTTGATCCTACCCGTCTCATCTGCTTTAATCTTTCATTATACCCTTTGCCTTGTACATTTTTCTCACATTTGTCTCTTTGCCTTCCTTCTGCCAGATATTATTTCTTCGTACCCAAGTCATTTAACAACTCAAAATATTCTCTCCATCTTTCCAGTACCTTCCCTTTCCCATTTTACATTTCCCTATTTTGTTTTTAGCTGGTAAGTGCATTTTCTCCCTAAGCTTTCTAATCTCTCCATAACGCTTTCACATTCTCAAAAAAAATTTGCTGTTAAAAACTTGCCTATTCCTTCATTGTCTCCTTTAGCATTTCCTCACCCCTCATTTTATCCTCTTTTTTTCTCATTGGTATACTCTGCCTTTCATACATCATTTTGACATTGTAAAACCTCTCCTACAAACTTTTTCTTCCTAACCACTCTGTCTTCCCACCAATTGTCCCACTTGACACCTGCACCCATCCTAATATAACCACAATCCTATGCTTTGCACTCATCTCATCTTTTATTCTCATTGTAGCTACTAATAAATAATGATCTGACATATCAGTTGCCTCTAAAAACATACGCAACCAGAAGTCTACCCACTAGTGTTGGTTCTACCAAAACATAGTCTGGTAAACTGCTGTCATTGTGCACTGCATATCTCAAACTTATTTATCATCCTCTTGTTTTCTTGAAAGAGGTATAACCTTTTATCAAGAGTTATTACTTACTAGCAAACCTCTTTCTGTACATAATTCAGTTAGAGGCCCCACGTTATCGTTTACCTCTAGCACTCAAAACTTACCTACTGTGTCCTCTACAACAGTCTCTTCCACTATTAGTTAGGTTACTTACAACAGTTATTCTCTTGCTTTGTTCAAAACTCTCAAAACGTTCACTTAACTTCTAAAAGTCTCTCTACAATTTTCTAACCCCCAGGTGCATAAGAACCTACTGTAACCTTCTTCTTACGTCCCACTATTACTGTTACGTCTATCTACTAATTAAATTTTTCACCGGTTGCATTCTTTCGGGTTGGGACTCGTATAAGCATCAGTGGACAGCATATACAACAGCCTACTCAAGAACCAAAAAATGAATGCCTATAAACAACTACAGAAACAGCAGCAAATATCTCAAGCTCATCAGCAGAAGAAAATTGGGCCCAGGTTAATTGTATAACTTAGGTGGGTAAGGTATATAATTTCGGAACAACTTTTTTACTTTTAAAAAAAGGATAGCATGGTATATTTTACCATGGAACTTTTAATATTTTTCATTTTATAGGTATGGGTTGGTAACCAACCCCCAGGGAAGTACTACCGCCGGGCCCAAAGGACTGTGAAACAAAAACCTGTAATGTTTTGCATGAGGTAGGATTGCTGGTTTCTTTTTTGTCTCAAAAAACACGCTAAAAACAGGGATACTTGCTACTCCTACTTCATTTTGGGTCCCCATTTCACAGACACCACATCAATATATATATAAACACTAGGTTTTTCCCCTTTTTTCTAATAGCTCTTGTTCTTTTTATTTTTTTCTATTGTCCAGGGGGAAGTGGAAAGAATTTTTCCTCCGTAACCCGCGGTCGTATGAGGCGACTAAAAATGCCGGGAGCAATGGGCTAGTAACCCCTTCTCCTTATACAATTACTAAAAAGAAAGAAAAATTTTATAAAATGGGTTGCTTAAATGTGCGGGGATTAGTGCGGATGAAAAAAACGATTTTCTGATTTTATGAATGAAAAGAAGTGGATGTCCTGGCCCAAGCGAAACAAAGCTGAAGGGGTAGGGATTTTTCAGTGGGGGGAAAAAAATGGGATTAAATCTGGATACTGAGAGAGTTTAGAGCAAAGGAAGGGGTAGCAGAAATTTTAAAATAAATCATTTAGGGAAAGGAGAAAAGAGAATATGAATGTAAAAACAAGAATTATGTGGAAAAAGAAAAGGGTTGGAGCGAAAAAAGGGGGGTCATAAAAAGCGTTATGCACCGGGAGAAGGAGGAATGCAGGGGAGAGGAGAGATTTTGGGAATGAAAGTGAATGTTGGAGCCTTTAAACCCAAGTGAGAGATAATTGGGGTAGGGACTAATGCAAAGTAGGAAAAAACTTTTAGAGGGGTGTGGAGGTAAGTTTGGGGGGCCAGTGTAAATGATAATGGGAGCCCTTTGATTGAACTTTGTATAGAAGGGGGTTTTTTTAGGAAATCATATTTTAAAAAAAAGGGAATAAATAAGTATACACGATATATGTGGGGGCAAAATACAGTATTTTTGTTGGATTATGAATTGGTAGATAAAAACTGTTGAGTAGACTTCGGGATGACAGTTTAAGGGGGGCCCAAAAGAATATCAATCACTTTAGTTGAGCTACACTGAAAAAAAGGTAGAGGGGATACAAGGAGAATAGAAGCACGGAAGAGAGGGGTAAATTTTTTAAAACAAAAAGGGGAGCATTTTAGGGTAAGATAAAACAGCTTTTGGGAGGATAGAGGGGCTAATGAGGCATGGGCAGGGGGTCAAAGAGGTATGGGGTGGGTTTTTAAAAATGTAGTGTTAGGTGTCCAACAAAGGGGACGAAAGTGGGTGCGGGAGGGAAGAGGACGATTGGGGAATGAGATGTAAAGATGTAAGGAGAAAAAGTTAGCTATGAAATTTTTTACAAAGTAGAAGTGATGCAAGAGGGAAGAGTATAGGGAAAAAAGAGAAAGTTAAGAGAGGGGGTAAAGAAATGTAAAAAAGAGAGCAAATGGAGAGGGGTGAATTTTCAAAAAATTTTGTTGAAAATAAAAAAATTTTTTGGAGTGAGATTAAAAATTTTAAAAACCCAGAGAACAAAAAATTTGTCGTTAAAAATAGGAGGGGAAGTTATAAATGGGAGGTAGAGGTATTGGGAAGAGGGAAAGGAATATTTTGAGGAATTGTTAAATTTGATGAAGATGGGAAAGCTGGTTTTCGTGTATGGGAAAGGGGAATAACATCTGTGGGAAGTGAGGAGACCCAGTTTGAGTGGGGGGGAAGTTCGTGAGGCGTATAAAATGAAAGGGGGTAAGGACCGGGATTGATGGGATAAAGATAGAAATGTTAAAACAGGGGGGGATAAGTTTTGGATGGTTGGTGCAATTATTAATAAATGTATGGAAGGGGGGTAAGGTCCCTGGGGTTTTGGCAAGAGCATGCAATTTCCTTTGTATAAAGGAAAAGGGGGATAAAAGAGGTGCAAAAATTATAGGGGATAATTTTGATTTTTACCTGGGAAAGGTAGGTAGAGTTATAATTGAAAGAAATTAAAAGGGAAACGGAAATAGGTAGCTATGAACAAGGGGGCTTAGGAAAGGAAGGGGGGGTGGGACCAGGTGTTTACAGGAAACATAAAGTGAACGTATTTAGATAAGGCTAAAGAGGTCTTTGTGGCATTTTTGGTTTTTGGGAAAAGGCTAGACAGGGGGGAAGGGGGGGAATGTGGGAATGTTGCAAGTGTATGGGTAGGAGGGAGGTTTCTGAAAGCAGTGAAATTTTTTTTCGAGGATATGGGCTTAAATTAGAGTATTAGGGAAAAGGGAAAATTTTTTTCCCCCGTAAAAGAGGCCTTTGACAAGGAGTGTGATGTCACCGTGGTTGTTTAAAATATTTATAGATGGGGTTGTAAGAGAAGTAAATGCGGGGGGGGGCGCAAAGGCGTGGAGTTTTAAAAAAAAGAATCACACACAAAGGGGAGTTGTCACAGCTGCTCTTTGCCGATGCACTGTGCCTTGGAGATTCTGAAAAAAGTTTTCAGAGATTTGGGGGAGAATTTTGGAGGGTGGCAAAAGAAGAAAATTTTAAAAGGGAATACAGGAAAAAATAAAGGTATAATAACAAAAAGATTAGGTGATGAAAATTGAATATCAGATTTGGGGGGAAAGGGGTATGGAGGGGGGAAAATATTTAATATTTTTGGGAGTGGACGGCAGCGGATGGGTCTATGAAAGGAGTGAATCTAGAATTGAGAGGGAAAAGATGGTGGTGCACTTTGGAGTCTGTGGAGAAAAGAACTTTGTCCTTTGGGGGCAAAGAGGGGGAAAGTATGAGAGTATAGTTTTACCAACGCTCTTATTTGGGGTTAAGCGTGGGGATAATGTTGCAGCGGGAGAAGGTGGAGGGATGGAGTCATGTCTGAGGGCAATGTGTGGTGGAATATAATGCAAGAATTTTTAGTTTTTTGGGAATTAGGGGGTCGGGGTTACCAAAATGTTGTCCAAGGGCCCTGAGGGAAAGGGTTTTGAGGGGTTCGGACATTAGAGGAAAGGAAACAGAATGACTTCAAAAGTGTATCATCTGTATGGAAGGAAGGCGGGGGGAGGGGGGCGGCCTAGGAAGGGGTTGGGGGGAGGGGGTAAAGGGGGGTTTTTTGTCAGGGGCTTGGACTTCCCAGGCATGCGTGGCGGTTTTTATAGGATGAATGGAACAAATGTTTTTAAAAACTTACGGCGTTGGATTTGACAAAGTAACATTTTGAAGGATTTAGGGAAAAACCCGGGAGGCCACTTGGTCCTGGAGAGGGAAGTACAGTGCCTGCACCTGAAGGGGGGGTGTTAATGTTGCAGTTTAAAAACTGTAGTTAAAACACCCCTTTTGGCAAGACAGTGATGGAGTGAATGATGGTGAAAGATTTTCTTTTTCGGGCCACCCTGCCTTGGTGGGAATCGGCCGGTGTGATAATAAAAAAAAATAATAATATTTTAATTTTTGTCCAAGGAAAAAAAACGGCATTCTTCAAAATTTATACTTGTTTTATTTCAGTATGAACTCTTTGATTTTCCCCAAAATTAGCAGGTGTTTATTTGACCTTAGTACAACTAGGTCTTGATGAGTGCAGATGATGACCCCCATGAAGTGGTCGCATTATTTGGATTCGCACTGTTCAAAGTTATAATTATATATAAAATATGGTAATTAGTTCCAGTTAAATGAGGTTTTTTTTTTTTCTAAATTTTTAAGGAAGAAAAGTTTAGTGAAGGGATTCAGGGAAAATGGTTATTTTTTATATAACCGGACTTGAGCCTGGAAAGGGGAATTCAATGCCTGCACTCTAAAGGAGGGTTTGGGATATTTGGGAGTTTGGAGGGATATGTTGTGTATTTTATACGTAACTCTAACGTTGTGTTCTGAGCACCTCTGCAAAAACAGTGATTATGTGTGAGTGAGGTGAAAAATTGAATGAGATGAAAGTATTTTTTTTTTGGGGATTTTCTTTTTTTTTGGGTCACCCCCGCCTCGGTGGAGATGGCTGATTGTTTTAAAAAAAAAAAAAAAGGAAATATAAACTTTTTTATGAATTAACTTTTTGAAGATTCAGAAAACATGGCATATTGGATATTGGGGAAAAAACAGGCGCTCCTCGGCTTACGATGGGGGTTTAAAACCCAATGAACCCATTGAAATGAAGTAAGACACATGGCAACATCTGGGGATTTTATTGTAGACTTTCGCCATCCGTGGCTTTTTCAATACAAAATTCCGGACAAACTTTAAGCGTAAACTATGAAAAGAAATGAGGTAATCAGTCCCCCAACCCAGGAGAGGGGCGAACACACCATAGTCGTGGAGAATCTCCCCACTATGGTCTTTCGCACCCCACTCCTATTGAGGGGCTGATTACCTATCTTCTGTACTATTCTACTGTCTTCAAGTTATTCCTGGAATTTGTATTTATTTTAAAACCACTGGATGGCAAACGTCACAATAAAATACCCCGATGTTGCCAGGTCTTAACCCCATTTGTCGGTATTTTAAAACCTTCGTTTCACGAACCCATTTTAAATGAAAATATTTAAGTCGAATGTGAATATATGATAAATAAGTAAATAAATAACTGTCACTGAATAAATAAATAAATAATTACTGTAACTAAATAATAGTAATGAAAAGTAAATAAATGAATAAAAGTTTATCCTATCATTAACCCTTTCAGGGTCCAAGGCCCAAATCTGGAGTCACGCACCAGTGTCCAAGAATTTTCAAAAAAAAAAAATTGTTATTTTTTCTTATGAAATCGTACAGAATCTTTTTGTGAAGGTAATAAAACAAAAAGTACTAAATTTGGTGGAAAATCGACGAAATTATGCTCTCGCGAATTTTGATGTGTCAGCGATATTTACGAATCAGCGATTTTGCCGGCTTTGACTCCCATTTTAGGCCAATTACATTATTCCAATCAACCAAATTCTTAGCTATTTCACTAGTATTACTTCTATTCTATCGATTGAGCACAAGAAATCGCCAAGTCAACTGTTTCAACTACAAAATAAAGTGATCGTAAATTGTTAATTTGGCCAATTTAACACAAAGTTCAAAATATTCCAATTTCAAAATAGGGTCCAGAATGAACAATGTAGGCATTCCTGGCACTAAACTAACATTTCCTCTGTTCATTAGTTATGTTTTGAGGCTTTACAAATAAATTCCATTTTGATTTTTTATTCACATAATGAATTTTTATTCACACCAAAAAATAGAAGATTTACTGTTATGCAATACTGTAATAATTGCATAAATATCATCACCATATTTGTAAATGTATATTAGACCCACCAGCTGACGTGTATTAGACATGTGAGGTCGTTTGTTTACTCTTGAATATCGGCAAAAATTTAACATTTCCGCTACTTTGAGTTCAGTTTCAAGCCATTTCCAATGCTAAAACCAATCAAAATCATCTCTATTTCTGTAATATGTCTTCCATTCTATCAAATGAGACCAAGAAATCGCAAATACAACTATAAAAAACATACGAAAAAACACTGCAAAGTTGCTGTTTTAATCGAAAAATCATGATTTCATTTTTTTTCTCTCATTATACACAGTGTGCTGCAGGATCTGTTTTATGTGGTGCACACATACCACATAGATGTATTCTCTCATATCTAGGCCCAAATGTACCACTCACAGTTTATCAGAGTGAGCTGAGCTCATGGCGTAGATCTACGGTTTGGACCCTGAACGTAAAGCCGTAGATCTACGGGACGGACCCTGAAAGGGTTAAATATACACTACAAGAAAAATGCCCCCTTCGTGTTTTGGGATAACCCTAGATATCTTGAGCGTCATTGGGAACTTCTAGTTTTCTAATGATTTTAACAAAATTACAATAGTGGATGACAGCACACAATCTGCTGCTTTTGTTTACGAGTGGTGGCAAATTAGTTAGGTTCCCTGTCTTATTTTTCAGTAAATTTATTATAATTGTGACCTCAGTGGGATTTGTTGGAACTAGGCCACCTTACTGGATAGCTTCCAGTAAGATGGTCACTTCCCTGAGCATTCGATGTTGGGATATTTGCTGGATAGCCTTGATCCTATAGTAGGGAACCCAAATCATTTAGTATGTTGGCTGGTTTGGCAGACTGAATATGAGGTTTGTATGGTACTCAAGACAGTATTTATGGTTTTGGCCAGTTTCCAAGAGCCCAAGATTTAGGAGAATGTTTTCCAGTTCCTTTTCATAGCCTCATTTATTTCATTACCCCTCAAACTGTCCAAACGTAGATCTACGTTTGTGCGTGTAGCGCTCCGACCTTAATTTACTCCATAAGAAACAATGTAAAAAAAAGTAGATTACGTTCGGAGCGCTGCGCATGCAAATGTAGATCTACGTTTGGACAGTTTAAGGGTTAAACCTGCTTGCATAATATAGTTGTTGAGCCCTCCTTATTAGATTGGTAAGTACTGTGGTATGATTTTTTGGTTTGTTCCTTAGTTTTTCATAATTATCTTTTATCACAGGACCTAAGGATGCTATATTTTAGCCATGGACTATTAAATTTCTTTGGTGTGATCTGCTTAGTTTTAATAGAATATTGTCTATTGTAAAGGCTTTGTTTTTTGTAGAAATACTCTAACCCATTCATCAATTTCCCCATTATCAATAATCTGTGCAAGCTTATGTCACACATTACTGATACAAAGTTATTTACTGAGGTCTCATCATGTTGATGAAGTGAGATTTTACTAGTGTCTTGTGGTAATTTACATATATTACTTTTCTCCATGGGGAAGTGGAGAAGAATCCTTCCTCTGTAAGCCATGCATATCATAAGTGGTGACTAAAATGCTAGGAGCAAGGAACTAGTAACCTCTTCTCTTGTATAAATTACTACATGGGCAGAAAAAGAAAAAATATTTGTTTCTTCTTTTGTGGGTCTCCCTGCCTTGGTGTTAAAAAAAAAGTTACTTTTTCTAATTGATTTTTTATTTGTTTTTCAGTTAAATGCAGGAAACCTCTTAGCAGGAATGGCAGGCATACCAAACAGTGACATGCTTAAATTAATGTCTCAAATGGGAAAATCTGTGGACTCGTACTCATCATCTACACAGCCAGGTTAGTCACGCTCTACTTAACTTTTAAACGGTGTCTGGTGTACTAGTATGCAACTGATGACTTTGTTCTACACAATAGTGTGAAACTGACAACTGTGTTCGACGTACTAGCATACACAATTTTCTGTACCCTCGAATCTGCCACCTGCCAATATTTTTAACCTCAGCACATCTCTCTGGGTCATCTTCAGTCTGTTCATACATTTGAAAAAAATTTAAGGCAAGGAGGGTTCACACAGTGTATCATAGTTAACTACTCAGGTAATGACTATGTCTGACATACTAGTATGCCTAACTAGCAAAAGTAAACAATGAACTCAAGAGGTGTTCCTCCACCAGCTTCCCTGCCAGCAAACCGGGTGTGAAAGTGGCACAGAGATGACTTGTTCATTCCAGATTTGTTACAATTTTATTAAACTAACAGTAGAATTCAGTCACTAAGTATATATAATCCAGTAAAGTCAAACAGCTAGGTAGTAGGTTGGTAGCCAGCAACTGCCCAGGGAGGTACTACCATCCTGCCAGGTGAGTGTAAAATGAAAACCTGTAATTGTTTTACATGATGGTAGGATTGTTGGTGGCCTCTTTTCTGTCTCATAAAAATGCAAGATATTCTGTCTCATAAAAATGCAAGATTTCAGGTGTCTTGCTACTTCTACTTACATGTAGGTCACACTACACATACATGTACAAGCATATATATACACACACCCCTCTGGGTTTTCTTCTATTTTCTTTCTAGTTCTTGTTCTTGTTTATTTCCTCTTATTTCCATGGGGAAGTGGAACAGAATTCTTCCTCCGTAAGCCATGCATGTTGTAAGAGGAGACTAAAATGCCGGGATCAAGGGGCTAGTAACTCCTTCTCCTGTATAAATTACTGAATTTAAAAAGAGAAACTTTTGTTTTTCTTTTTGGGCCACCCTGCCTTGGTGGGATATGATTGATTTGTTGAAAGAAGAAAAAGAAGTCAAATGGTGTGACTTATTTCCATGTTTTGAGGAGTATTACACTCTAATTATAATAAGTATTCCATGTACATAGCCTTAAAAGACCAAAAGAGTTCAAAAAATAGAATAAATAACAGTTATACCATGTATAAACTGAATATTCCAAGTGAAGCAACATTGGGCTAAGCATTTTCCCCATGTTTGAAGTGCTAAAACACATCTAATATAATAAGAAACTAGTGTACATGGTGTTAAACATTAAAAGCAATTTAAAAACAAAGTAAAACAATCATATCTTGGCATTAATAAATTGTAGAACATAAATATTGCTGGCACATTTACACTGCTGTTGCCAATGAATGATCATTTTTTCACTAACTTCATCACACCATAAAATCATGTTTGTATCAGATCCCACTCACTGTAGCTTCAGTTTAAGAATTAATTATCACTAGTTATTATAAATCCCATCATCATGTTTGTTGTGGGTGCTCAAGGATTTCTTAACCATTGCTGATAAAAAATGTAAACTCGGGCTTCATTTGGCAAAATAATTTATCATGTTGAGCTGTTAATCTTTTCATCCTTAGTCTGTATGTATCTCCATTGTGAGAGTAATGTTAGTTTTTATCTCAGAAGTCCAGTGGTTATTACAACAAGTCCAGCAGTTATACTACAGCTTTATACATCATTAGTAAGGCCTCACCTAGATTATGCAGTTCAGTTCTGGTGTCCATATTACAGAATGGATATAAATTTGTTAGAAAATATTCAGCGAAGAATGACAAAATTAATTCATAGCATTAAAAATCTTCCGTATGAAGAAAGATTGAAGTCTCTTAACCCTTTCAGGGTTCGTCCTGTAGATCTACGGCTTTACGTTCAGGGTCCAAACCGTAGATCTACGTCATGAGCTCAGCTCACTCTGATAAACTGTGAGTGGTACATTTGGGCCTAGATATGAGAGAATACATCTATGTGGTATGTGTGCACCACATAAAACAGATCCTGCAGCACACTGTGTATAATGAGAGAAAAAAACTGAAATCATGATTTTTTTATTAAAACAGCGACTTTGCAGTGTTTTTTTGTATGTTTTTTATAGTTGTATTTGTGATTTCTTGGTCTCATTTGATAGAATGGAAGACATATTACAGAAATAGAGATGATTTTGATTGGGTTTAGCACTGGAAATGGCTTGAAACTGAGCTCAGAGTAGCAGAAATGTTAAATTTTTGCCGATATTCAAGAGTAAACAAACGACCTCACACGTCTAATACACGCCAGCTGGTGGGTCTAATATGCATTCACAAATATGGTGATGATATTTATACAATTATTACAGTATTGCATAACAGTAAATCTTCTATTTTTTGGTGTGAATAAAAATTCATTATGTGAATAAAAAATCAAAATGGAATTTATTTGTAAAGCCTCAAAACATAACTAATGAACAGAGGAAATGTTAGTTTAGTTCCAGGAATACCTACATTGTTTATTTTGGACCCTATTTTGAAATTGGAATATTTTGAACTTTGTTTTAAATTGGCCAAATTAACAATTTGTGATCACTTTAATTTATAGTTGAAGCAGTTGACTTGGCGATTTCTTGTGCTCAATCGATAGAATAGAAGTAATACTAGTGAAATAGCTAAGAATTTGGTTGACTGGAATAATGTAATTGGCCTAAAATGGGAGTCAAAGTCGGCAAAATTGCCGATTCGTAAATATCGCTGACACAAAAATTCACAAGAGCATAATTTCGTCAATTTTCCATCAAATTTCGTACTTTTTGTTTTATTACCTTCACAAAAAGATTCTCTTACCATTTCATAAGAAAAAATAACAAATTTTTTTTTTTTTTTTTTAAATTCTTGGACACTGGGGCACCACTTCAGATTTGGGCCTTGGACCCTAAAGGGGTTAAATCACATTCACTTGTAAGACGAAGAATGAGGGGAGACATGATCAGAGTGTATAAGTGGAAGATGGGTATTAACAAAGGGGATATAAGTAAGGTCTTGAGGATATCTCTCCAAGAGAGAACCTGCAATAATGGATTCAGATTAGATCAGTTTAGATTTAGAAAGGGTAGTAAAGTATTGGTTTGGAAATAGTGTAGTTGATGAGTGGAACAGTCTGCATAGTAGGGTTATTGAAGCTAAACCCTTGGGTAGTTATAAATTTAGGTTGGATAAATATACAAGTGAGAGGGGTTGGATTTGAGTAGAACTTGCACATGAGTTAGTGGATTTTTCAGAGACTATTGTTAGGGTAGAACTAAAGTGGGTTGGGCAAATATTCTGTTAGTGGGTTGGATTTATGAAGGACCTGCCCAGTTTGGGCCAGCAAGCCTACTGCAGTGTTCCTCCTTTCTTATGTTCTTATTATCTGTAGTCCATCACTTCTGGCAGGACAGTGATTGAATGAATGGTGGTGAATGTGTTTACTTCTGTAGGTCAATCTGCCTTGGCAGGAGATGGTCATTGAAGTCTGTTAACCCTTTCAGGGTCGACAAGCCCTCTCCGAGACTTGTTTTGAGGGTTGGCCAAATTTAAAAAAAAAAAATTATTTTTTCTTATGAAAAGTTAGAGAATCGTTTCCCCATTTAAGACCCAAAAGTATGCAATGAGGGAAAACTTACGGATTATGCTCTTGGGAAGTTAGGGGTTCGACATTTTACAATGGGCAATTTTGCCCACTTTGAGCCCTTTTTCGGCCAATTTCAGTGTACGTCGACAAAAAAACAAACTTTTTGCTTGAACTCCATTTTTTTTTATCAAATGATAAAAAAACCCCCCTTTTACTGATTTCAACTATCCAATACATGGTCAGAATTTAGCAATTTTTTCCAATTTCACCAAAAAAATTTAAAAGATCCAATTTCTAAATAGAGTCGGGATAAACAAAAAGACTTTCCGGGGCACAAAAAATAACTTTCCCCCGTTCTTTAGTCCCCCCAACCCCCCCTCTTACATTCTTGCTTTCCATTTGAATTTTTATTCTCAAAAAAAAAATAGAAAAATTTACTTTTATGCAAAACTGCATATGTAGAAATGTAAAAATAATATCATGCACTTTGAAAGAATATTAGACTGGCCAGTTGACTGTATTGGAGTTTGGAAAGATTTTTTTACTTTTGACTTTGGTAAAAATAAACATTTCTGCTCTTTGACCCAAATTTCATGTACTTTTCATTTAAAACCGGGAAAACTAAATACAACAATAAATACCATACAAAAAATACAGTGCAAAGTCGCTTTTTTAATCCAAAAACAGGGTCAAATTTTTTTTTTTTTCTCATTAGCACTGTTGCTGCAAGATTTTTTTTATATGCACACGGACCACATAGACCCATTTTTCATATGTAGGCCTCCCACTTTCTCTCACTAGATTTGGGGGCGCTAGAATTTGGGGCGACTAGACTAAAAAAACCCTGGTGCGTAAACCGTACTAGAGGGGCCGAAACCCTAAAAGGATTTAAAAAAAAAAAAAGGGGTTTGTGTATGGGGGGCAAAGATTTAGCAAGAATTCAAGGTAAAATTAAAGAATTTTTTTTTTTTTTTTTTTTTTTTTTTTAATACTATTCCTCTGCATGCATTGGGGTTTTCTTACTTTTCACTGGAATTGGGCCCTACAGTTCCATAGAAATATTTACAGGCAGTTTTCACACTTTCTATTTCAAAGGTCGCTGTTGCCCCTTGTGGCTTACGCTTTTTTTTTGTTTAAAAAAATAAAAAATTTTTCAAGGGCCTTTGGGGGAACCCCAGTTACGACTCAGTTTGAGTGTGTATTCATTTAAAAACATTAATACACAAAAAGAAAATTGATGAATTATTGCAACACCTGGGTGTTTATTTTTTAAGACATTTTGCCCAAACCCAAAGGTTTTTTCAAAATTTATTACAGAGCCTAAGAGACAGTGATTACTTCCCCAGAAAGTGGGAAGCAACCTCACCTTTCATGAGAACAGACCCCAAACCCACCACCCCCCCTATATCATCATACCTTATTCAAAATTTCTAGTTTCAAGTAGGCTAAAATTTTTATCTTTCAGTTCCTTGCTCCTTGCTATTCTGCAGAAGCCCAGGGCCTTCCAAAAGGGTCCATTTGGCTTTTTGGGTCACAGGTTTGCCTTTGGCTATCGGCCGTGGGCCCCTCTGAGTATTTCCCACACAATTTTCCATTAAAAACTTTTTCGCACTTTTTACAACCAACCGCCCGGAAATTTATAAATACCTCTAGGAGATAAAAATGTTGAAGGCATGGGGTTGTGCAATTATTGATTGTGTTACTAGCCCCCCGTGCACTTCTCCCCCTTACAATGTCATCCGTTTTAAACCATTTTCTTTGGAATATTATGTATATCCAAAATGAAAGGGATGATGATAAAATGGAAAAATGGGGGACGAGCTGCAAGCATATATAAGGTCCCAAAATACTACTACAGGGAAAACAGTGTGTTTGTCACAAGTGAACGGGCCCCCCCACACCCAAAACAGGACCCACCTAAGCATGGGGGTGGGATCCGGTACACCTCCATAATGGTAATGTGTAAAACATGTGCCATAATGGAAAAGATGCCCTACTGTTTGGGAATGGAAAAGTAAATTTTTTTATGGAATATTAAAACAGAGCCCTGGGCTCCATCTCAGAGGTGCTCCTTTTCGAGTTGGGCTTGGTGTTGTGAAGAACGAGACATTCTTGGGTTTTTTGTTGTTATAGAATATTTTTTTATTTTAAATTTAAAAAAAAAGGCTAAGCCACAAGGATACAGCGTTTTTAGAGATCAGAGGGAGATATTAGGCCCGATCATTGGGTTCATGAACTATATTGTAGCAATAGAAAGTTAGTGATAAAAGAGTTAATTCTCTAAAGTTGTACATTTTTTTTTTTCAGGCTCTGGTCAGCACCATGGGCAGTAGCACAGTGATGTGCTTTAAGACTGGAATGTAAAATATGTACATGAATGCCTCGCATTTGGATAACATGACACCTGGAATGTACAATGGTGGAATGGCTGGTAAGAATCCAGTACAAAATACATGAATTCTTGCTTTTGGAGACATTGATCAAAACTGTCTGCATGTTGTGTCCAATGAATAATTTGTCAGCTGGCTGAGTGCACATTACCACCATCCTGGTATTTTCCTCTGTGAATTCTGATATATGCAAATATTGTATTTAATTGTAAAGGCCTTGTATATAGTTTTTTTTTTTTTGTGTCAAAACCATTGCAAGTATACAGAATAACATTGTTACGTTGTACCTGAATTTGAAGATTTTCATTTAACTATTGTAGTACTGGAATAGGTACAATGTGAATATTTGGTACAGTTAACTAAAATTGATAATGGCATTTGCCTTAAATTTCAAAAATAAAATATTTCATCTTTGAGCAGTTATTGCTAAGTAGTGATATACAGGCTCTTTTTCAGTCAGCTATTTATTAAATGTAATCTCAATTTTTTTTAATAGAATTTTCTTTTTTACTTACAAATGACATAAGGTTTTCTATAAATAAAAAATTTAAGAATTTCTCTGGTTTTGTGAGCATTGCACACTTCTCCTTTTATCATAAACATAAATAGTAAACAGTTCATGGAAAATATTGCTTATTAGGAAAATTCATGTTCTGGAACATTGCCTATGGCCTGGTAACTGACCACCCGGTTGATGGCTTGATCATTAGGTTACTGATGCACGAGTCATGTAGTCCAGCATAAGCACTACAGTCCTGCTGATCAACTGTCTGGAGGAACTTTGAGTCAGATTAATTGCAAGGTTGATGTTCTGATAAACAAATATTTTAAAGATGTCATTTAAAAATAAAAGTAACTTCAGCTTCCTTTGTAATTTTACAAATATATTAAATTTAATGAAATGAAAGTTTGTAGAAAAAGAATGTAAAAAATTTCAAATGGAGTGATGTTTGAACCTGCAGTTCATGGACCCCTATGGTTCTGGTAGGTGATGACTAAAGGGGTTTAATTTTTGTTTTTTTAGTGTAATCTTGCTGGTGGAACCTTATGACCTATGGTGCACTGGGCTAAATTCTAGGATTGAAGACCTTTGGTTAGAACCCTGTCCACTCCTTTAATTATTTTTACAAGTTTTAGCTTCAGTAGTTATGGTACTTTCCAAGGTTAATAATATATCCAAAAGTTTTTGTCATACCCAAATTTTGTGCTATATAATGCAATGGGTTTACAAGCTTTTATATGAAAAATTTTTTTACAAATTAAGTACAATTGTCTAAATTTTACTTCTGCTTAATTCACAAGTATAATTTTTCATATCTGTATTTTGCATAGGTTTCTTGACAGTATAATTTCTTAATATTTAAATGTATTTATTGTTTTTTGTTAAGTTTGTTCACTAAATTTTATTTAATGATGTTGATGACAATACTTATTTTAATTTGGCATTCAAATTTGTAAGTAGGGTCTGAACAGTTTGTAATTGAATGAGCTCAGATATTTAAAACTTTGATAACCTTTTTGTTAATTTAACTGCTGTTTCAACTATTGTATAAAATGACCTTCATTCAACACAAGCCAAATATACTTGTAGTTAGGTGCTGAAGTGAATTTTGTTGGAAAGGATGTGGTAAAAGGGTAAATATGCCGTAATGTAACCAAATGGAGGATTGGACATATGATAAATATTTGATGTTTACATAATTATAAAAGGACAAAATTTGTGGCTGGGTTAATGAAATGAATATTTATATTTTTTTCATAAAACTAATAAATTTCAACCATCCCCTGGTGTCAAATTCTTTTTAATCATATTTAAGTGAATGAAGCTGGAGTGTGAGGCAGGCAGAATGGCTTTGAAGTGTGTATAACAAAGCATTTAAAAAATTATTATTATTATTATAATCAAAAAGAAGCGCTAAGCCACAAGGACTATACAGCAGCATTTAAAAAAGCTTAGTTATGTATTTGGTTTCCGATTGAACCTATTACCCCCCCAATCCTCCCTTCCTTCCTCACACCTCCCCAACTTCCTTTTTTTTTTCCCCTTTTCCCTGCCTTCCCCTTGTTTTCCCACCCGTTTTGTAGCCTCTGGGTCCTCCCTCGGGCATTACGGTTTAAGTAGGTGTGGCATGCTGGGTTTCATCCACCCATGCGGTCCCTCGGGGTTGTGGTGTTTGCCGTAGAATCAATGTGCCCTGCCCCCTTCCCGAATTTCCAGGAAGAGGCGGTGCCCTTGGGTTAATGGGTGTATCTCAGACTGTCTGTCTTTCAAAGGGGGTGGTGGCCGAAGGGGGTAATGCTTTGTGGCGATTTCTGACGCCCTTTCTTTTTTTTCTGCCGAGGTAGCTCGGTAGAAGTAAGGCTGCTATCCCAGAGCGCTGGTTTACTGGCGTGAGGGGTAGGGTATGGCATGGGTTCCACGCTGCATCTTCACCACCAGGGGGCTCGAGGCCCCTCGGATGAGGGGCAGGAGCTTCGGCCCCTCCATGCCACTGTCCCTCCGCGTCTTTTTTTTTTTTTCTTTTCCTTCTTTTTTCTTAAAAAAAAGAAAGGAGTATCACAGAAGATGCACCTATTATTATAGAGTCTTCGCCCAGTGAAACCCTTCCTCTTCCCGGGGCCCCATTCTGATCCCACACCCTGTTCTGACTTGGCTTCGTTATTGGTCCATTCTCTCGACTCTTCTCAAACCCTGTACCTTCGGGCCGCTGACAAATTCATTACTGCTTCAGGTGCTGCAGCGTCCTCTGTTTCTGTTTTATGTTGCTACTCTAGCATGCCTTTCACAATGCGTCCGGCTTCCCCTAATATTTTGCAACGGTTTTCAGATTGCCCGCCTCCCCTTTGGGGCAGACCGCTGCAGTATACTCCCAAATGTCCGACAACCTACTGATGACAGTTCATCGATGATCACTCAAAAACGACCTACACGACACTCACTGCCTTTGTGTACCCGCTTAACGAGTGTGCAAAGGACAAAATTCTTTCTCTACAAAACGTCTCAAACGGATTATCTGTCTGATCATGGCACATTGGCCAAAATATATCTTTCCCTGCTCTTCGAAGCAGGCGTATGTCGTAACTGTACAGAATTCAGAGCAAGCTCATGCTCTCTCCCGCATCACTTCCATAGATAACATCCAGTCACCGTTTGTAACACGCTACTCTTAAGTCTTGCAGTGGTACTGTGGTCTTACCGCGCATCATAGTACAGTGACTTTTTTGTCTTAACGGCGATGATAATTTTTGTATAATTATCTTCAAACCTCCCTGTTCTAAAGGTAGATACATACATCCTGCTTGCTCGTGAAATTCCGTCCTCTGTCTATATTGCGGGCCATCGTTAGAGGGCCCCTCAAGTAGTTCCCACCCCCCAACAGTGTCATAATTACTGGCGTTTTGGGCACCCCGCTAAACAACCGCAGATCTGCAGCGGAATGCCCGATCTGCATGCAATCATTCCAAAACACTTGTAGTCTTTCCCCCTCCTGTCTCATTTCAAGGAACCTCATCCTTCCTTTCCCGCTGGTGCCAGTTCTATCGTATGAAAGAGCTCCGTTACCCCTTTAAAAAAGCACAAGAGCCTTACACTAGGGAGTCCTCACTCCGCCTTCAAGGAAACTTCCACGTTCCCGTATGCTCGAGTAGCCCACAGACCTCCAACCTCGACAGTCCTCTCACCTCCCAATCCCTCTGCGTCCCTGTCTTCCGGAGTCACTCCAGTTTCTAATGCTTTTTCAGTTTTATCCTCTGCACCACTTTCTACTACTTCATCTCGCTTGCTTACTTCTCATCACTAGACCTTCACTTTTTCCGTCCATTCCTATCTTCTACCTCGGAGACTGGTTCTCACCCCCTTTCCAGCTCTCAGGCAAAGGTGGGGGTCCCCCCCCCTCCCCCCCCATCTTCTCATTGTTCATGGGGGGCAGATCATTGTACTCTCCTCCATTTGCATTCCACCTAGTCTTGTCCAAGTTGGATTATGATGACCAAATCTATTCTGCGGGCCCCTCCCACAACTCTAAGTTAGATCCCATTCATCATCAAGGTCTCCGGGCTGTGCCTTGGTGCCTTTCGTTCATCCCTTGTTGAGCGCCTCTATGCAGAAGCAAATATTCCATCCTTGTCCGATCACCATGATGCTCATTGCCTTCAAATGTTATGTTTGAATCTCGGACCTCCACAATCCTTCCGTAAAAAAGGATGGTCATTGATGTTAGTAGATGTTCTTTATTTGTTCACTGCCCCTGCTTACTCCGCCCCTTTTCTCTCCGCCTCCATTTGCTCGTCTTTCTTCAGTTACCACCTTTCTGTGTTCATGTAGCATCCCACTTTTCCCCGCCCCCTTTGGGGAAATTCCAGCGTTCAAGTCTGTTCTTTCCCACTGCCCTGCACGAAAGCCCAAATCCCCACGGAACTTCCTACTCTTTTTTTGACCACTTCTGCTCTCATTCTCATGCCATCATGTACAAAACCCATGGTTCTGAGTCTTCTGACGGCGTCGGATTCACAGCAGTGTTTCCGGACAGTGTCATGCGAGGGCAATTATCCTCGGGTAAACATTTTTTAAAGGCTGAATTATATGCCATTCTGTAGCACTTATCTGTATAGCATCTATGCCTGTGTCCCATTTGTGGTTGTTTCAGACTCCCTTGGTGCTTTACAGACTATACGAAAATTTGATACACCTCATCCCCTAGTTCTTCATGTCCAATTGTGGCTATGCCGTATCTAGCAAACCAAAGTACAGTATTGTATTTTGCTGGGTCCCTAGTCAAGTTGACGTACAGGGCAATGAATAGACAACACTGCTTTCCCTGTCAGCAGTGCATGACCTCCCAGTTTCATGTAGAGGTGTTCCATTCACAGACTATTTTGCTGAAATTGCTACCCCCCTTCGCACCCATTGGCAACAACGTTGGTCTGATCTGCTCCATAACAAA